CATGATACATTTGGATGGATCTTTAGGAGGGGTAGTCCGAAGAGGAAGAAATTCTTATGAAAAACCATACCTCGTCAAGTCGATACACATCATCTCATATGCACTTGTTATAAGATGGCCTATTTCGGGGAAGCTCATCTACTTTTCAAATGGTGCGTGAGCGGTAACACTAGGATCAAGAGCATGATGAACTTTATTAAATGCGTTTGTTGTCACATATAGGCGAGTGCAAAGTTCTCTATACACCGTCAACTTAGAAATAAGTGTTGTACGCACAAGAGTGTATTTCTCCTCTCCTTGACCAAGCAACCCGGATACGGCCTGATACCCGCAATTACCATCACTCATCATATCCACAATTTTTTCAATGTGTTTGTGCATAAAAAGTGGTATCTTATCAATGTAGATTATTGGTGGTGGTGGTGGTTGTGGTTGTTTTATAATAGGCGGTGTACGAGGTGGTGTGGAAATCCGAGCTCCCTTTTTAATACTTGTTTTGGATTTTGGGGTTGAAGAATCCGAGAATATTTCATCTACAACTTCATGGTAAGAAGGAGTATGCTTTGTTGTGATGTCAGCTTGTGAATTTTTCACCTTTTTAGGTGTACCTTTAGTTTTCACCGGTTGCAACGGGGGTTTCAAATCATTTATTTTCAGAAATGCAACTTTTCTCAATTGTTCTTTAATATGTAACTTTGTAGCATAACCCGTTTTAGAAAATCGATCCATAATGACTTCTAATTTGGTTGTGATGTTTATGTTGGATTTACCTTCATTTGTCGGGTCGTAGTCATCAAATCGAAGCTTTCTCCAATGAGTGCAAACCTCATCCATACGTATGGGGGAATTGAGCTTAATTTTTTTTGAAATATTACAAGCACAAGGTAGCCCGTAAGTCATCCTTATTGTACATCCACATTTCAAACCATTTGTCCCCGTTGTTTCTGCTCGTTTCGCTTCATAAAAAAATGAAATTCAATCTCGCTCGAGATATGTTGTGAACCAACTGCGAATACAAAGTGTTGTCTTTGAATATGTGTTCCAATACAGTTTTCTCCTACCAAATTTTGTTTGAATTTTATTATGTTGGCTTTGGAACCTTTGGTTCATAATGTCTCATTCTCTACAAAGGTTTCCCTTACTATCACCCAACCACTTTTTCAACACTGCATGTGCAGATTCCACTTTATTAGTTGTTGTATTCCCTAAATGTCTAACACGGTCCGTCCAAGCACATACAACTTTCTCTTTCACCTGATCAAGGATGGTGGACTCAACGTACTTCGAGAATTGGGATATTCAACACATAAGTTCCTAAATTGATACTTTCCGGATGCGTCCAAAAATCTCACGAATACTTATGTTGTCCTCATAAACTATGTGCCTGGAAACATAGTGGTAATCGTCCAAACATTTCAATAAATGTTTCATTTAGGATCTCAGACCTCTTTGTGCAATGTGTTGTTTATAACGATAATTGTAAACCGACTTGATATTTGGAACATATTTCGCTCTATTATGTTTCAAACCGGCAAGTATGTTTCTCGGTGTAACTTTGATCAACGATAATTCAGAAATAAATTCCTTCTCTACCGGCTTAAGCCGACATACAATTGGATGCTCGTGTAACTTGGTGTCCAACACATGAGTATGCATACCAGACATAATATTAAACCGCCATAAATCATCCACCCTACAATATGCGTGCAATTTAAACGAACACCCATATTTCCTCGATCCCGTGTCATCATGTTTTATCTTGTGAATTTTTGGAACATATTTTCCACTTATCTCGCATGTCATCACAACAAATGGTTGCCAATTACTAGTCCCATTGTCGGACATTTCAATCACAACTCCAAACCCAAGTTTGCTAGCTTCCATTCGAACCCATTCAAGCATATGTTGACGAGTGGTGAAAGTTTTATCATTTGGAAATTTTTGTCCATGATCTATCACAACATCAATCATTTTATCAACTTCCTTCACCTCATTCGGCTTATCGTCTTCATTGACCTTGTTCGTAACGTTTACGATAGCTTTGACAATGTTGTCAGGGTGCACCATACCTAACATGTTCAAAAAACAAGAATTCTGTTAGAACAAAATTCTAGTTCTGTAACAGATATTTATTCGCATGTGCACTTGCGAATTTTGGAAAGTGGCCTTCGTAGGTGCATATGCGAAGTGACATTGTTTTCTTCTTCAACAAAACAACTTCAATGCAACTAATGTATGATGAAGGGATGAAAGTTTACCTCAAATTGTAGCTTTAAATGCTCATTTTGCTAAACTCAAACACTTGAAACTTGATTTGGAGATGAAAAATTTATTGAGATTGATTGAAGTTTGTTGAGGGTTTTTGTTAGAGGAAAAGAAATTGAATGAAATAGTTGAAATAGGTGGCCATGCAACATTCTAATATGAAAAGGGAAGTTTCGCATGTGCACATTCGAATTCACCTTTCAGAATGTTTCGCATGAGCACATGCAAAAAACCCTCAATATTTTAAAATTCAACTTTAAAATATTAAAACGTGCAAAATAAGGGTGTCTTTGCATATGCACTTCCGAAACATCCTTATATGTGAATTCACATATGCACATACGAAGGGTATTTTTGGGTTTTTAGTGGTGAAAATCACCACTACTAGGTATAAAGAGAAATTCCCTTCATATTAATAGTATAATTTAATCAAAATTATACAAAAATATCAGTCAGATTGATAATAAGTTGCGCTATTATTCCTTTTTAGATAGCAAAATCAATTCTCTTAAAAATTATATTTATTGTTTTAGAAGACACAATATTTCTATATATGTTTTTAGTTTGATAGTTGAACATGTTTTCTTCTCTGGTGAAAAAATTGATATCAAGAGAATTGATTATGTAAAATTAATTATTTATAAAAAGTGAATAGGGTAGATTCGTCCTCCAAACTGCGAGGAGACACTTTTCCTCCTTTACGGATATTTCTCCACTGTTATTTCACATGTAATAAGTAAGGTATATCATAGGCGGTCGATCTAAGTTCTACTGAGTGATCCACTATATCTTCAGATGACTACATCCCTTCATACGCTCATATCCATTTTGGGCGACCAACCCACTTCAGACTTCGGACGTCTAAGTCTCTTTATGTCCCTAACTCGTTGCTACTCTAGACTATTTCATAGTGGACCATCTCTTATTCAGACTCAAATAATTGTCTAAGTTCATACATAACCTCAATTAAACCATGATTAGTGGAAAATCTATAATAACACCTATTTCGGTGCGTTTCTCGGTCCAAACAATGTAAGGTTGTTCTTCATTCTGCTATTATTTATATCATTTATTTCTTATGGAAAGCTAGGAATTGAGCCAGGTTCAGAAACATTGCGCCTAACACTAGTAACACCATTAAGAAAATCTCCAGCCATATCACTCTCACCGGTATGAACACCATTGTTTCTTCTTACTCTTCGATAGATGACTTTCACATTCTTAAGATTTTCATCATCAAGATCCGGCCGCCTGATGCCCCTTGTATTATTGAACTCTTTTGGCATCCTCCTCCTCTGGATTGGGTGAAATATAATTGTGATGGTGCTTTTCCTCGCAATTCTCCGATGGCGGGCTGTGGTGGAGTTTTTCGTGTTAAGTTCGGTAACTTTCTCTTAACTTTCGCGGCTAATGTTCATTGGACTTTCTCTTCTCTTGCTGAATTCCAGGCAGCTTTGTTTTCTATGCAAATCGCTAAAAGTAAAGGTTGGAATAAGTTGTGGATTGAGTCGGATTCTCAACTTGTGGTGAAGGCTTTTGCTAATCTTTCACTTGTCCCTTGGCAAATCCGTAGAAGTTGGGAAGATTGTATATCTTACTATAACAACAATCATCTTTTTGCCTCTCACATATTTAGGGAGGGTAACTCTTGTGCAGATATGTTAGCAAATCTAGGCCTTAACTTGACTTCTTTAATTTTGTTTGAATCCATTCCAATTAGTTTAAGGAATGATTTTATAAGTAGTAGACTAGATTTGCCCTGTTTTAGGTTCACTTCCTTTTGAAGGAGTGGATTTTTTCCTCTCCTTCATTTTTGTGAGATTGATTCCCCCTTTTGTTCCTATTTCTTTTGCATATAATACGAGGACTTATTAAAAAAAAACTACAATAAAATCTTGATAAAATTTTGAATTATGTGTTATAGCCATTCTTAGCTACATTTATCACTGACCCTATTTTTAAGCTAATAAAAAGTGACATCTTCTTAACTTAATTTAAATAATATTCTCTTACATGCTGTCAAAAGGAAATTTATTAAGCAAGAATGATTTTATTTGCTTCTTAACTATGACAATATAAAGTAATTTGAGTTAAATGGTTAAAAATAATTCTATAACTTAGCTTTCTCCTCTGATTTATTGGTGATTGACGTTGAATTTAATAAAAAAAATTATAATTCGATCTCCTACAATTACGATCGAAATGAGATTAGAAGCACTTGATATCCAATGGTGAAAAAAAAAACATTTTAAACTCAATTTTCATATATCTATGACTCTTAAACAAAACACTATCCTAATAACACATCTAGCTTTTGTGTTGATACTTTCTCCAAAATGCAACTAATACTAGTAAATATAAATACTATAATAATACTAGTCTATGATTTTGTCATGTGTATAGTATAGTCTATACTACTATATAGTACTCCTCCAAGTTTGTTTTTGAAACTTGGGATTTGATTGTGACCACTGATTATCCTCACTCACCAATGAATCTACTGCTAACATAGTACGGATGTATTCACCACTTCTATGTTGTTTATGTCATGTCTTCACCATATATAACTTTTTTGCTCAAATAGTTTCTCACTGCGTTAAAAACAACAGTGTTGATTCGATTCCCTCCTCCATAAAAACCTCTCTCCTTTCACTGTTCTAGAGATATTCACATGCCTCAACAACTTGTTTTCTTATTTAATCACTTTCTCTTTTTCTCTCTCTCTCACACAAGCTATGTCAAACTCAATGACCCATCAAAATCAATTTGAGAACCAAGATTTATTAGGTGCTGGTTATGTTTCATCTTCTTCTTTAAGGAACACTAACAATGCATATTCTGAAACATTTCATCACAATATTGAAGAGCTATCACAACAAGGCTCTGAAATGAGTCATACAAGACATTTGATGGATCTACTTGGAGCAGCAAACAACAATCATCAAACACAACAAGGTTTATCACTTTCTCTAGGCTCTCACATGCTTGTTGTTCCTTCTGAGGATTACAGAAACCGTTCCTTGAATCAAGGTCTTATGATTAACCCAAGTTACTTCATGTCTGGTCAAGAACAGACACGTGAGCCTTGTAATAATAATCTGACAAGTGATTATTTTTACGGAAGTTGTGGAAGTTTTGGTTCAGGTTCTTCTAATAACTCATTGTTGAACCGTTCTACTTCTACTTCTTATGGAAATGAGAGTTTTGGTTCTGTTATAGGAAACTCTAGATATCTTAAACCGGTACAATCACTTCTTGAAGATCTTGTTGATGTTGGTGGAAATGTGATTGATAGAATGAATGAAAAGTATGCAGAGAAATTGTTTCATGCAAGTAGAACAGGTGCTAGAACACTTTCATCTGAGCTTAAGGCTGAGTTGAGGATTCATGGACATTTGTTGGCTGATAAACATGAACATCAAGTCAAAATTGCAAAGCTCATTTCTTTGTTGGATGAGGTTAGTCTTCTCTTTAACAACTTAACCAAGTTTTCATAGTTCTATAGCACCGACCTTCTGAAAAAAAGTGTGTCAGTAGTAGATGTTATTGTATTGGTGTCGTGTATCAGGTGTCTGTGTCTGTCTGGGTTTTATAAGTTCATAGTAGTATAACTTATAAGCCTTTTTTTAATTTTTTTTAGGTTGAGAGTAGATATGAGAAATACTACCATCAAATGGAAGAAGTGGTGTCATCTTTTGAAATGATAGCAGGTTTAGGAGCTGCCAAATGTTACACTGCTTTAGCACTTCAAGCAATGTCTAGACATTTTTGCAGCTTAAGAGATGCAATAATGTCACAAATAAATGTTGAGAAAAGAAAACTTTTTCAAGATGTACCAAAAATCAACAATGGATTATCTCAACTTAGCTTATTTGAGAAAGATAACAACAGACAGAATAGAATGTCTCTTCAACAACTTGGAATTATGCAAAACCAAAGACAAGTTTGGAGACCCATTAGAGGCTTACCTGAAACCTCTGTTGCAATTCTTCGTGCTTGGTTATTTGAGCACTTTCTTCATCCGTAAGCTTATACATCAAAACTTCTAATCTTCTTTTTTATGATCTTCTGTATTTCATGACATCTTACTAATTTGATGTCTGTTTTTTTTTTTGTTTTGCAGGTATCCTAATGATTCTGAGAAATTAATGTTGGCATCGCAAACCGGTTTAACTAAAAACCAAGTAATTTTTTATCCTTAAACTATGTTTTTTCGTATTTATTAAAAATAATGATAATTTAGCAGTGTTAAAATTGATAAGAATAAGCGATAAACTTTGTATACTTGTTTAGGTGTCAAATTGGTTTATAAATGCAAGGGTAAGGTTATGGAAACCAATGATAGAAGAAATGTACAAAGAAGAGTTTGGAGACTCATCTGAAGACTCCAACCCAGCAGCTAACAATTACATGTCAAGAGAAGATGCAACAGACTGTGTGGAGGATTAGGAACTAGTTTAACTATTATAGCTTTTGAAGATAAAACGAATTTTGTTGGAAATATTAGTGTTACTACTACTATCATGTAACATGACAAGATGGGGCAATATGTTTTTGAGGTGAATTTATAGTTTTTGAAATTCATGACTAATGATGTTGTTTAGATTAGTAATTGTTTTGACACTTCCTTGTAGTCATGTCATCAGCTTGATACCATGTACTGTTGATATGAAACAAAAAGCAATGGATAACAGAATTGCTTATAATTTGCTACTATCATAATCAGTTACTTACATTCAATAACTGTCATGTACGAGCTTTTCATGTTTTATCTTGTCATAAATGAAATATTCATTGCATATGATTTGATCTTTACTTGTGTTAAATCAAATTAATAGAATAAAAGGAAATAGGCTGCTGATATACTAATACTAGAATGGTGTAAAATAAAACTATTGAGAAGTGTTTGAAAGCTCTTTTTTTTGGAATTTTTTTATCTAAGTAACCTATCTTTCAAATTTAACATTCTAAATTTAATCCCAATTTACTTCAATTTCAAAAAAAAAAAATTATTGTGTAAGTGTAGCCAAAGCAATTGGCATTTGGCACCACTTCCTAATGTATAATATATTTAATATTTAATTAATATTTTAATTTTTAATAGATTATTAATTAATTAATAAAAAAATAATAATAAAATATAACTTAAATAGGATTACAAATATTTAAATAATTTTTTAAGTTAACAATGACACACATATTAGATATTAATGGTCGTCATGATCTCAGTTGATTTTGCTAAGGTGACTCAGAAAAAATCTCCACATTTGAATCAAATATAAATCATTCTTCGAATTGATATAATCATGTTGTTCCACGAAGGCGATGTAGTAATTTAATATGTTTTCCACGTGTCCATAGTTTGGTTATGTTATGGTTTATGTTTATGTAGTGATGGTTGAACGTAGCAGTTTTGGTGGAGGGGGTGGATTTGATGTGAATGTTTGGTGGAGTAAAAAAGAATTTATTGTTGTCGTGTTTTGAATTTATGTTTGGATGAGGTGTTTTTTGTGTGCATTGGTATGAATATAATGAGTTGGTGGCTGGTGTTTGTCGTTGGTAGTAAGAGGTATATTCTTGGTTTTGTGATCGGGTGTTTGACATATATTGATTTTAGATTAACGAAAGGTTGTTTGGATGGTGTAATAATTTTTGTTTAGGACAAAACAAATACACCATCTTTATTGTATGTGACTTAATGTAGCGTAACTATAACCTATTTATGAAATACATGCATCACAAATAAAAAATAAGAAAAATGAGAAATTGACCGAATGTGAGAGATGGATGGTCTTGACTTGAATGTAATGGATTAGAATTTGACAAATGAGCTAAGCTTGAATGTAATGGATTAGAATTTCACAAATGTGCTAAGCTTGAATGTAATGGATTAGAATTCGACAAATTTGTTAAGCTTGAATATAATGGAGTAAAAGTTGTGAGAAAGATTAAAAAATCTTGGTGCAAGAGTAGTTAATAGTTAGCTCTGTTTTTACTTGTTAAAATTTGATGAAATGAAAGAAAATGAAAAGGGAAAAGTCTGAGAGCGAATATTTAGATGGAAGTGTTCGTATTTCAATCTCTATAAGATAAATTATAGTTTTAATTTTTAAAACTTTGTTTTCCTTGATTCAGAGAAGGTTTGAGGTGTGTTCGAATTTCAAATTTTAGATTTTTTTACTTTTGATTTGATTTGTTTCGGATAAAAAATTATTAATTTAGATAAATAAGAATATCTCATTTATAAAATCCTAATATATATATATATATATATATATATATATATATATATATATATATATATATATATATATATATATATATATATATATATATATATATATATATATATATATATATATATATATATATATATATATATATATATATATATATATATATATATATATATATATATATATATATATATATATATATATATATATATATATATATATATATATATATATATATATATATATATATATATATATATATATATATATATATATATATATATATATATATATATATATATATATATATATATATATATATATATATATATATATATATATATATATATATATATATATATATATATATATATATATATAACTTACCGGTATTTTTGACCTTTCAGATGTAGTGGAAAGAGGCTTGTATTGTAGGGTGGAAAGAGCAACCCAAAGGGTTTTTGAACCACAATGCAGTATGCTCAAAGCCCACACATTAATTCGACTAGAAAAAGCCCATGCATTTTTGGTTCGATCCCGGTAAGAACACAATTCATTTTCAACCAAAAAAACGAATAAAATACAGTTCTCTAGTTCGTGATCTCTGATTTAGCAGCAAAATCTCCGATCTGGGAGCATGTGTGAGTGACACCTGAGTCTCCCCTAAACCACTTCACAAACCACAACCAATTCCAACAACTCAATTCAAAACGAATAACCAAAAACCCTAAAAAAGATCAAAAACAGAATGCGAAACTAGAAAATCCGAAAAGGCTTGAAAAGAATGGCGAAGCATTCAGTGGCAATTTCAAAGAAAAAATGGCCGCTAATGTTACTAGCCTTCTTGTCCGTTTCAACGGTGACGGTGCTATTCATCAGAAACAATTCCGATTCATGTAACACCAAGATCTTCGAAGCGGAAAAGAGTCAGATTCACTCCGGCGGCGGTGGATACGGTGGAAATGTTGTGTCGGGTGTGAGTCCGTTGGATTTCATGAAGTCTAAGGTTGTTCTGATGGTTTCGCATGAGTTGTCGCTTTCGGGTGGGCCTTTGCTTTTGATGGAATTGGCGTTTCTTTTGAGAGGGGTTGGGTCTGAGGTTGTTTGGGTTACGAATCAGTATCCGGATGAACGTGATCAGGTTATTTATAGTTTGGAAAGTAAAATGTTGGATAGAGGAGTTCAGGTAAATTCTCTTTTGCTTTTTGTTATTATTGATTTGTGTTTATCTTAATGGTTCTTTACTTGGTTGGTTTTTAGTATATGAGATAGGAAAACATGTTTCTTAATTTGTTTGGCTACATTTAAATCATGCTAATTGAGGAAAGTTGTGTATTGAGTGTCAAAGTAATGTGGGGTGGAAATATTTTAAGTTGGTTTAGTAAAGGGAAGTCAATCCCGGATAGCGGCACGGAGTGGCCACAAAATTGGGATAGTGGGATAGCGTATTGCGGAATGGCTGCTATTTGATCATTTTTTGGACAAACTACATGAATAATAATTATAAAGATATGAAGTGCAGAGGGAAAACCGACGTGCAGAGAGAGGTGAGGGAGAAACTTGTGATTTTTCTTTGGAACTGTTGAAGTGTAGAAACACCGGTGAAGGAAGGTTAGCGTTGAGTCTCAACTTAAATTTGATTGAAAAACCCAAAAATTACCCTTAAAAAGGTTTTAAATTTAAGGGGTAATTTCAGTTTTTCCCTATAGCGGCTACTATAGTGTTCTGTGGTGCTAAGGCTTTTCCCATAGCGGCCGGCCTTCCCTCCGCTCTAGCGGGATAGCGCCACTATTGGCCGCTATTGACTACTCGAGTTTAGTAGTTTACGTTTTTCTATATTTTGAATTACTAGTATTAAATGCACTGGTAAGTTACCAAATAGGGATTCGACTCAAACAGTTGTTATTCGGTACAGTGTTGTCAAATAGCAGCGCCATGTCTGCTATGGCGGATATACATGGCGGTTTTTAGACTCTCCGCAATGGTAAATATTGGCCGATATTGCGGGTTTTTCTGCCAGTCTGCTATAATGGCACCGCAACGCGGCCAGTATGGTGGGATTTTGGCCGTCCGTCGTGGACAACACTGATTCGGTATTGAAACATCAAATGTTGGCATTCTCATAAAGGTTGAGACTACTTGCTCACTTACTTACATGCTAAAGTGAATTGACCATGCTCACTTTACAACAATTACTAAGCCTTATCCGGCTACATATTTAGGAGAACTAAGTCCTACAAATAGAGTACTTCTAGTGAAAGTATATGACTGATTGATGTTATTCGTTGTATATAAATTAACAATACAATTTGGAGAGAGGCTGGAGAATGGATGTGTTGTTGTAAAGAGCAACTCCAATGGAATTATTGGATTAAAGAACGGAGTTTTGGATTATTGGAGCGTTTCTATGAGTCAGCGGCAGACATGATTGCCGGAATGGATTGAGTGTCTTTACTATTTGGTGACTTTGGTGTAATCATAAGATATATGAATGATTTAAATAAATTATTTAGATGAGAGATGGTATTTGGTTAAAGAGAGATAGAGACAAAGTTACAAAGTCACCAAAGTTGAAAGGTAGCCAATCTTGATTTGATCTCATGATTCCTTAAGTTTAAGGGAAGTTCTTAATCTAAGAAACCATCACATATAATAAATAAAAAATTCCAACTCAATTTCAAACAAATCAACTTAGTTCTCTAATTTGTGAAATCCATGTAGTGAACTTTTTGAAGTTGCACAATTAAGGTTGAAGGTTGAGTAATGTACAATCAACTTGGTGCACTAATTTGGGTGATCCATTTAATGAACTTAATTCACATGTGGCACGGTAGAACCCACAAAAGTACGAGTTAAGCAATTGTGTAATTTGGTATTAATTTTCTTCATTGTCTTGATTGAGTAGGATAATAGTTCCAATCTTTAAGAAATGCCTTGACCTGCAGTTCATATCCAAGTGTTATGGAACTTCTAAGTGTAGCCTTTTTTTTTTATCTGTTTGGCTTCTGATAGGTCATGCCCGCCAAAGGTGAAAAGGCTGTAGATACAGCTCTTAAAGCTGATCTGGTCATTCTAAATACTGCTGTCGCTGGAAAGTGGCTGGATGCCGTCTTGAAGGAAAAAGTTACCCTCGTTCTTCCTAAGGTTTTATGGTGGATTCATGAAATGCGAGGCCATTATTTCAAAGTGGAATATGTTAAGCACCTCCCTTTTGTTGCAGGTGCCATGATTGATTCACATACAACTGCAGAGTACTGGAAAAATAGGACTAGGGAGCGTTTAGGGTATGTTTCCGTTCGATTTTATCAACTTTTACTGCTATGTATTCTGTGTAACTGTCATTTAAGTCATGTTTCTAACTGTAAGCTTTGCCTGACTCTGTAGAATTAAAATGCCTGAAACTTATGTCGTACATCTTGGAAATAGCAAGGAGCTTATGGAAGTTGCCGAAGATAGTGTAGCAAAGAGGGTTCTTCGTGAGCATGTTAGGGAGTCTCTAGGAGTAAGAAATGATGATCTACTTTTTGCCATCATAAATAGTATGTCACTTACCTAATTTGATATTCATTTTTTATTCATTGCATTGGTTTCACGATATTTCCATTCAATGCAGTGTGTGACATGCTTGCAAGGTTATACTACCTTGTTGTTTCTCTTTTCTTGTTGTGCATGCCAATTTAATCCTCCCCTCTGTGTAGTTTACTTATACCCTTTCTGTTCATTTTTACAATTCTTTTGCCTGTCTTTATTCTGAGCCCCAGGGTATTTTAAGTGCAGGTGTTTCACGCGGTAAAGGACAAGATCTATTTCTTCGTGCCTTTCATGAAAGTTTGCAGCTCATTCAGGAGAAGAAACTCCAGTTGCCATCTTTGCATGCTATAGTTGTAGGGAGTGATATGAATGCTCAGACAAAGTTTGAAATGGAACTGCGCAAATTTGTTACAGAGAAAAAGATTCAGGACCGCATTCACTTTGTTAACAAAACTCTGGCCGTGTCTCCTTACTTGGCTTCTATTGATGTTCTTGTTCAGAATTCTCAGGTATCTTATGATAATATACACTGCCAATTTGTTTATGGAACAAAGCATATACTAGAGTTGCTATATGGTACATTGTAGTGTATGGAGGCCATGATGACTCTCTAACTCATGGCACTGTGATGACAACCTTAAACTTTAGTTTGTTTGATTATATATTTTTTCTAATTTCCCTTACATATTACGCCCACGACTGTATTGATTCAGTTCTGCCATCCAGATTGGTCGGCCTTTCTTCTCATATAAAGATTCTTCCATATAAATTGATTTGCTTGATTTCCATGATGTTTGAAGGCAACGTTCACTAGTTTAGAAAGAACCTGAAAATTGGCATTTTTGTTGTATGCAAATTGTGTTTTAAGTATTAATTTATTTTGGTTTTTGGGCTTCATTCACCAATGAGCTTCTGTTCATACCAGGCACGGGGAGAATGTTTCGGAAGGATAACCATCGAAGCAATGGCATTTCGCCTGCCAGTACTGGTATCACCCTCACTACATACTTGAGTTGTCCTGTCACTATATATTTATGTTTTAATTACTACTATCTGTGTCAATTTACTCATTATCCCTCCCATTTGATGTACAGCGACATGCTTTCTTTACTCGTCTTTAATATCTTCTTAGTTCCTGTGTGTCTTATTATTATTTTAGTTTCAAAATTCATACCACACTATCACCCTGTCCAAAAAAAGTCAGAAAAATCGAAACAAAGAAGTTATTTCATTTTTTAAATTATCATAGCACCAATGTTATAAAGATCGCGATCCAGATCATGGTATCGCACGATCTTGCGATCTCACTCCCCTCCACCGATCTGGATCGTAAGCAAAATCGTAAGTCACTAAAAATTACGGCGAAAATTTCTGCTGCGTGATTTTTTGTGAAATATCACTATTCTGGATAAATCTTACCATTCTCAGCTTGAACCCTTGTTCGGATTTGCCGAGTTTTGGTTTCGTCTTCATCTTCTACATTGAGTTTCTCTTCATCTTCTGCGTTTCAACTCTATTTTCTACGTTTTTATATCTTGATTTGTTTTTTATTACTTTCACTTTCCTTTTTAATTGTCTTGCACGTGATGACAGCTTGCAATTCTCTTTTTTTATTTTTTCAATCTTACTTTTAAAAGTTGGTCAGACTTAGTAAAAGAAATATGATAAAAATTACAACTAGCATCATTTTACTGACTCACTAGCTTACTAGGCACGTGAATAATTTTATACTGATAGTACTTGTTTGTCACTTAAAATGTTTGATTACCAAAAGTGAATTTAGACATGCATATTTTTTATCATATGCTTTAATAATTTTTGTTTATGTATTATATTTTTCTTTTGCATCTTTTTATGTATTTTGTTTTTTTTATATATATATATATATATATATATATATATATATATATATATATATATATATATATATATATATATATATATATATATATATATATATATATTCTTGATGCATTAGTGATTTGTTCTAGCATATTTTATTTTATGGACTTCTAATTTTATATTTAAGATTTGAGACTTTTAATTTTATATTTAAGATTTCAGATTTGGTTGATGGTTTTATATTTAAGATGTGACTTAAGCCTATTTAATATGATATATCTTTTATAATTATTTCTATTTTAGTAGAACTTACGATTTTAGTTATGATTTTATATTTTACGATCTTGATATTCCCTATCAATCATATAAAATCAATAGGGTAGAATCTTCCGATCTTAATTACGATTTTATATTTTACAATCTTGCTTTCCCCTTCCGATTTTATGTAAAATCTCGATTCTGACAACATTGCATAGCACTGATTTCCTTCTTATGCATGTGCATTGACTACAGCCCTATGTAACTAAATTTTTACTAATCTGTGGATCCAACTTAGGTTTAGACACTTGAATTTTCTCTTTGGCTATATTTTTGTAAGAAATGAGAATAACTGTTCCGCAACTTAAAATTCAGATTTGTACTGTTCTTTTGTTGAATATGTCAACCTCGATTCGCTAATTTTCCTCCCCATTTGCTCATCCCTCCACCTTCCATGTCAAGTTATGTTGTTTGTTTTAAAGATATTCTTTCATGATCATAGAGATATACCGAATCAGGAAAGAAAAGTATGTTTGATATTCAATTATAAATGATGCGAGGATAAATATTTTTATTTGAAATTTTCAGTGCACACATGGTAGATTATTTGCAAACATGTTTATAAATTATACCTGTCTACTTTTGTTTATCATGTATTGTCTTTGTTTCCATAAAAATATTTGCAGGGCACGGCAGCTGGAGGCACTGTGGAGATCGTGGTAAATGGGACAACCGGTTTGCTCCATCCTGCCAACAAGGTAGGCGTAACACCACTTGCGCATAACATTGTGAAATTGGCAACTCATGTTGAGAAGAGGCTCACTATGGGAAAGAAAGGATACGAGAGAGTGAAAGAAAGGTTTCTAGAGCATCATATGTCACAGAGAATTGCAGTGGTTCTGAAAGAAGTTTTAGAGAAGGCAAAGCACAGTTAAATCTAGCTGAGGTACTTTACTATTAAATTGTAAATTGATTCCAAAGAAAAAGGGAGAATGGTTCGGTTATGAATGAATTGTATATTTCACTTTCTTTGTTCAGTATGGTGTGGGTAATGGGTCAATGTATAGGATTCTGATATATTACTTTCCTTAGTAAAACTTAAGTCACACTCTCATACGAGTAAAAATCCAGACTCCCTTTTTTGAGAAGAAAATATGTTTTACATGTTGGTCCTTTTTTTTTTGGTTACTACAAACTAATATTTTAATAGTGTTGAATGATTTTAATGGACCATTTTGTGATATTTTTTTCATTATAGTTTTCAGTACCATTGGGTTATCTATTCTATTAGTTTTTGAAGTGATATTTTATCTTTCATTATTTCCTAGTTGATAGTATGTTTTTTTTTAAATTATATGTTGGTGATACTATATCAAAGTCAAATTCTGTGTAAAAAATTATGGACGTAAATTGAAATCAATATTATATACATCTATAGAAATAGTTATTGCATTTAATTTGTATGTATAGTTAATGTATTATATCATCTCAAACACAACATCTAGATATTTATGGAGATCATTTATAAACAAAACGCAACAAAATAAATATCATAATGTAAATTAATTGAATACATGTTTTAGATAAATTGCAAACACGAAACTAATCTCTTATTACAGAATTAAATTAGTGATCAAATAATCAAACTAAATAAGTTAATAATGTTAATTGAGAGTTTCTCATAAGCTACTTTAGGAACTTTGGATTTCCTCGTATCACCATTCAGTTCATTATGCAGTACATCACCTCCTCATCTTTGTCTATTTTATGGAGTACATCACCTCCTCATCTTTGTCTATTTTATGGAACTAGAATAATATGTCAGTATTTAACCCTTCCCACAGTCTTCGAGAAGGGAATGCCATCTCCTTACATTTTCATCATCTGCATGGAAAATTTTCATATTTTCATCAATGATGTTGTTCGTAGTGATTCTTGAAATCCTATTTTAATTTGTAACAATGGACCTCATCTATCAGACTTTCTCTTTGCGGATGATGTTTTCCTATTCATAAAATTTAAGAAGTCTCAAATAAGAGCTATTGCCACACTCATGGACAAATTTAGTCGGGCATCATGTCTGAAGATCAACCTTGCTAAGTCTCGTGCTTTCTACTCTTCTGGCATCTCTCAGACAAAAATTAATGAACTAAATTCAATCTCAAACATTTAGAAATTACTTCTCTGAATAAATATCTCGATTTTTCTAGTCTTAAAGGTAGTTAAAAGATTAGATTTCAACCATTATGGAAAAATGCAAACTTGAATGACTTCTTGGAAAAACGGGCTTCTTAACAAGTTTGTTAAATTAGTCATCGTTACATCGGTTCTCATCTTCATCCCTTATTATTACATGAAAACTATTTGACTCTCTCAAAACATATGTGACACTATTGAACATATGACTCGTAATTTTATTTGGAAGGGTACTAACACCATATGGATTATTTGGTTTGTTGAAAAAAGATCATGTGCCTATGGAAGTTAGGTGACTTTGGTTTGTTGAAAAAAGATCATGTGCCTATGGAAGTTAGGTGACTTGTGGGTTCAATCAACTAGAGATGCCAACACATCCCTCCTAAGTAAACTTGGTTGAGGTATGCTTCAAAATACTAATAAATTGCGGGTTCGTCTCCTCTCTGAAAAACATTTATCAGGTGTCCTGTTTACTCTCCCTTTTAGCTACTACAAGTTCCCTCGTTTGGAATTTTATCGTCAAAGCGAAGAATGTGCTAAAAGATGATATTGAATGAAGACCTGGATTAGGCTCCTCTTCTTTTTTGGTATAGCCAATGGACTTCTCTTGGTCCCTTGGTTTCTCTTGTTGAGTATGTTCACATCCATGACATTAATTTATCAGTTAAAGATTTCTGTTGTACAATATATGTAACTGCACATCCCTAAGGAGAGTAGGTTGTTTGTCCTTATCATATGCAGGGGGGGCATCCTCGATACGGTTATTTTGTTGTTTGTCTTGTCGATTTTGTTTATTATCGCTTATTGAGCCTCTCTCTTGATTGCACACCTTTTGAATAAAGTTTGAAATCGATTCGTTATCTTTTTAGCATGCATAAAACAATGGTTAGGTTTGAATTTGAACAAGATATTTTTAGTCATTTGCATGAGTTGAAGGAATAAAAATATTACATATTTTTGAGTAGAAGTAAGTGAAATTTAAAATCTCAAAATACTTTTGAAAACGTAAAAATTTGGAATTTTATATGTTTTATTTGAATCATGAGAATCAAACACATTTTATGATTCAAATGAAATTAGATAGAAACATATTAGGAGTTTTTCAACTATTTGAGTCAAATCATTTTTTACACATGATTCGAATCATTTCTACACATGATTCAAATCACACTCTTTCGATCACCTTCTGCTCAATTTGATTAGAATTAAACTTTATACATAATTTGAATCACACACTTTCTCTGCATTTTATAGTTAGCTCTGTTTGATTTGATTCGAATTAATTTTTGAACATGATACAAATTATGGGGTCTATGATTCGAATTACACTTTGTGCTTGATTAAAATTAACTAAAAATGGGTCAAACATATAATTTTTCATTTATTCCACTTCACTTTCTCATTTTACTCAAAACTAAATCTTCTTTGATTCAAATCTAACTACTTTTATCGCTCATTTTTGTGCTTAAACTCAAGCACATATAAAATCTTTTGTCAAAATTTTTACAAAAAAACACAACGAGGAATTTCATATTCACTTTGTGATTTTCTGTGAAATTAACTCTCTCACTTTGAAAAGTTCAAAGATCTTGCACTTGAATTTTTTGTTTTAGATCTTGGTCATGAGAGATTTGTGATTGATTGGGGGAGACGTTGTATTGAAACTAATCGTTCTTAAATGTTATTTAAGGATTGTTCAGGTTGTTGCAAGATTGAGAAGTTGTCATTGGTGCTGTCAAATTTCGGTAAAAAGAATGAGGTTACTTTCTCCAAATTTCCTTAGTAGTGATTGTGTCGAAGGCTACAGATAAGGCGAAGATCTCCTTAAATCTTCAGACAATTCACCGTTCAAGGCATCGGTATAATCAAAGGGTTGATTGCTACAAATGAAGGTTTGGAGCATAATTGGTGATATTGGAAGATTTTTGAAGTGTCGATTGATCGAGTAAAGATTGCGTAGAAGAGTTTGGCGTGAAGTTGTATAAAAGTCAAGATTCAAAGTTTAAGTTTTATTTTTTTCAATATTATTGTGGATAATTGATTGTATAAGCTCTTTGAATATTTGTAAAGCTAGTGGAATTATACAGGTCCATTGAAAAATGCACGTAGAGTCACGTGAAGATGACAGGTCCACTCAATTCCTAGAGCAGTATACTACATTGCGTCACCAATCTTCCTTGACTTCAATTAGCTTATCGGGAAAGCAACTAAACCATATGGAAATCAGAAAAACACAAGTTAATCTTCCTTGACTGATTATGCCATATAAGTATATCAATTACAACTCACATGACATCAAATCACATAAATATATGTAAACTTCAGTTTTCACATGATCGACTAGTAAATGATCTAATGTGTAGTGCATTAACAAGAAGTTGATACATTTTTTCTCTACCAACCAAGCAATAAGTTGGAGATAACAAAGAAAGATATCATCTCAAAAAGGTTATCAGATGCAACTGTGCAACTACTTTTAGAGCTAGGGGCAGCTAAAGATTGATATTTGGAGTTTAAACTAAGACTCAAACACATCATATATTTACAAAATCTTATTTTAAGATAAAGTTCATGCGTTCTTTTAACATTTGAGCGATACTCATGGAACATTAACGTGAAACTTAACATATCGCAATGATTAGTTTATACTTCTCATGCCTAGAAAAGTTGTAACAAATTATAAATGATTTATATTTGATCTTATCGAATCAGAATGGACCGTCATAGCTAACTCGGGCAGAAGTTGAATGAGATGGGGGGAGGGGGTACCTGCAAGACACTCTGATGGCAAAGTAAGTTGCGGAATGAGCAAGCAAGTGTAAGAGTTAGAAAGTGTTGAATACATGACCCTCCCGGAAGAGAGGGTATTCATAGCCCTCAGCACTGGGTCAAGGTCTCTTTACTGGACTAATCAAACAGGCCCAGCGTAGAGACTGTCAGGTTCTACGTGAGTAGTGGGGACCCGCATGTGGCCCCCTACCTGGATGACGTCCTCCGCAAGGTCAGGAGGACATGGACGCGGTCTTTCCGGGACCACGAAGACTCCGTAATATCCAGAGACGTTGGTAGTGAGCCCTACGAGGAAGATGCTCGGGAGGAGCGCCTGCTCGTCAGGGATGGTCCCTGCGAGCACAAAAGGGAAACAGTCTTGGTCGACAAGGCCTTTATGGTCGGGGTGTGGTCATCCTCAGTCTGTTCGGGCATTGTCCCCGCGTGGTGAGGTTGTCTCCTTATGAGAAAAGGTTAGTAGTTGCCCACCATGTTCGAGGATAATACCGGTCAGCGGTACAGGTTGGCACGCTTGGATTGGGCCTCACTGGGAGTTGGGCCAAGGGAAGGCCCAGTCCCGAATAGGAGCCCCCCAAGTCTTTTCTCCTGGTGAAGGATTTATGACTTGATTCAAGTTTTCCCATTCGCGAGGTTCGCTGCCCGACATGGAGTTTTTCTATCGTGGATGGAGAACATCGTCAGTTCATGATTTTGCTCCGTGTAGCAGTCGAAGCTTGTTCGAGGAGGACTCGGAGGAGAGGATGATACGCTTGGCAGACACGTGGCGTGGCTCTTGGAAACAGTAATGATGGCCTAGGGAGTATGGGCCATCATTGTTTGTACACGTAGGTGTCGAGGAGAAAGGCGACTTATGATTGCCCGATGCGACGTTTCATATTCCACGTTAGCTCTATAAATAGGGTTCATGGCTCATAACTTACTTTCACATTTCCGCGCTTCTACACTTTCT